CGGTCTGAAGACACATATAGCAACAGCTTGGATACCACTTATTGATGCCAATAAACTTAATGGTTGCATGCAAATGGTCAAAAGAGGACATCGGGCTGGTAAGACTGCTACTCATACCTGCTGTGCTGGAGGTACTTGGTATGTTGATTTAGCTGAGGAAGAGATGGAGAAAACTCTTGGAGTTAATATGAAGACTGACGTGGTCACTTGTGAAGTACCTTTAGGCGGAGTCCTCTTTTTTAGCAACTGCATCCCTCACAGAAGCCTTGAAAATTATTCCAATGATGTACGCTGGAGCCTTGACCTTCGTTGGCAGCGTCCTGATGAACCTAGTAACTTCTTTGGTCTTAAAGATTGTATAGTAATGCGTTCAGAAGATAAACCCAGTAGTTCTATTGATTGGGAAGGATTTGCATCTGTGGATCGCAATAAGCTTCAGATGGGTTTTGAAGGTGATGAAAAGGAGTCCGATCCATTTGATACCACAATACATGGTCCATGGATGGAGAGATGGGGTATTACTCACACTAACAGACATACTGAAGCATTTCTTGCCAGTTTAAATTCACACACAAACAAATAATGGTTTTTTGAAGCAATGTTATTTTGTTACCTATTGCTGTATGCTATGATTTTCCTATTTTTCAAAGAAAAAAGTGAAGTAAAACTCTAGAACCTCGAAACCACGTGATCACACGTGATATGAGTATACGAATAGATTTACGAAGTTTACAATAGATACACGGTTTGTTGTCATGACGACAGTGTCTTATAATCATTAATGGCGGTCAATTTTGAACTATCTTCTCTTGGTACAGAAGGACATCTTCTAAAAGATACTGAAAACGAAGAAGATGGGAGAGGAACTAAAGAGCAGGAACCTATTAAACACAAACCACCTCCATTTTTAGATAGAAAAGATAGCCGACACGTTTTAACACCTAGGAAAGGAGAGTCTCTAACAAACACACCAAGAAGTACTCCAGCATCCTATAAAAAGAGAGCCAGTGCATCAGTAATAAGGAGAAATAGCTCGAACACTAGTTTTATGTCAACTGGGACTTCAGGTGATTCTGTCACTGATGAGCTACTGGATAGAAGCTTTACTGACTGGCTGGAAAAGAAAGAGAAAGAAAGAAAGAGCCTTAGGCAAAGGATAAAGGAAGAAAACATTAGGAAAGAAGAAGATAAAGCATCAAAAGAGGTAGATCTATCTTTATTTGCTCAGTGCGGATGAAATTGATCGTAATAATAGGCTTTAATGAATGAGAAATCAGCTAAAGCCGTTGAAAAATGGAGACTGGCAAAGGAGATTGTTATAAAAAAGCAGAAAAAAGAACAAGAAATAATTAAAAAGAAAGAAGATGAAAAAGTGAGCAAATGGTTCATATATTGCTGGCATATGATGACAGCAACTCAACACAATTTAGAAACAAGATGTAATTGAGAAGGAACAGAACTCTTCTGAAATAGCCGAGAAATGGCGACAAGACAAACTAAGTGTTCTGCAAGAGAAAAGGAGAAAAGAGAAACAAAAGTTGCTTGAAGCTGAGAGAGAGAAACAAGCAGAGGCAAGAGAACTTTTGGAATCAGCAGCAGAAGCCTTTAAATCATGGTGAGAGAGATTATTGTTATTGTGTACAATATATAGAATTCATGTACTTTACTAGAGTAATTTATTGTAATGCATAGGAAACATGGTAAAGACAAAATATTGAGAGACTCTGTAATAAAGAAAAGTAAAGAGTCCAAAGAGCAGGCCCAAAAAACAATCCTCCAAATCCAAGAGAGACAGATACAGTCTCATAATGCCTATAAACAATGGAAAGTAACTAAAACTAGAAAACTAAAAGAAACAAAGACACTTTTCACTTATAATCCTAACCCAAGACAACCTCCCAGGAACAACAAATGGAGACCAGCAAGAAGTGTGCAATATAGCTACCCCAATGATCCCACAATAAAAAGAACAACTGATAAACTTGAATCTACACAAACAAAAGAGGACTCTTACAGCAGCAGCTCGTTTGAAGAAGAGAGAGAAGAGAAAGAGGGAGATACATATTCTGAGCATGATTCAGTTGATGGTAGCAAGGACGATGATAATTTGAGAAGAACAGGCCAGTTGAAAACCGTAACTGTGTGCTGTCAGACATTAGAGTACTGGTGTACATGCAAAGAGAGAAATATCGAAGAGTAATTTATCATAATTCATATCACTATTTTCTGTCAAATTTCTAAAATTAATTTCATAATTTAATATTAAGTAGCACATAGAACAGCAACTATAAAACAAAAAAATTAAACAATAAAAACAAGCATTAATTATTTTCTACAGCAGTAGGTGTGACAATGTCTTCATAACAAGAGTTATACCATGCTGGAGGAGTAGGTAAAGTAATATCATTACTATTACTAGAAACATCATTACTGTCATTAGCAGGACTATCTATTACTACAAACGAATCTAATATAGCTAGTTGATCCTGCTGGTTCCTCTTATCGCCAGGTAATGGCTCGATATGAGGTGGTATAGTAGAATCATTAACACCATTGAATGGTTCTTCATAAGGTGACACTGGCGGTGACACTGGAGACCCTCTGACGTCACTGGTTGAGCTCACGGGCTCCATATAAGGAGATATTCTATGAAGATTATCAGCAGATGGGACCGGCTCTGTATAAGGAGAAGATGCCAAAGGAGAGAGCCCATTGCTTAATGGTACAGGGACAGGCTCTACATAAGGAGAGACTGATCTTGTCAGTCTACTATCAGTAGGGGGTCTCTTTATTGTAGCACTAGACTCAGTGAGAGTTGCATACTCATGGTGTTCAAACGGTGACTCATATTCATTACTATTAACATTAGTAGATGATCCTATCACTTGTACTTGCGTTACTCTCTTTGTAGGCGATGCATCTCCGTTACTATTTTTAGCAGCAGAGCCAGTCGCAGTGTTACTATGTCTAGCCGGTGGCTGTCTCTGTAGTGTAGTGAATTCACTGTAGGGAGCGATGACATTCAACTCTTCGTATTGAGGGGGAGGAGCTGAGGTAGACTGAGAAGGAGAATTGTTAGTTGATATTTGTAAAGAGTTTACTGTGGATGGCTGGATACTGGCATATTCAGACTCGCCTTTATTGAACGATGTATCTTGAAAACCGGATCCATCAATTTTATCACCGTCCACATTGGCATAATTATAGTTTGTTAAATCACTAAAATAAAATAAAAAATAGCAATAATAATTACAGTAATACATAATGCAAAAATTGTTATATAATTACAGTAATAAAATGTAGACATAGCTTACCAGTCAACTTGATTCGATTTCTCTTTCTTCTTTTTATAGCAGTAACAGAAGATGTATAGCCCGACCACTATTACAAGTAATAGCAGTGCAATGATGATTGGGATGACAATAAAAGCAACTAGAGTCCCAGTATTGGTCCCTGTCGTTGGTGAGGCAGTAGGTGTTACAGTTGTTATTATAAGAGTAGACGTTACAGTTGGACTGCTTATGAGGGTTGGTGTACATGAGGTTGGGTCCGATCCTTCTACTAGTAAGTTACAATCAGTAGCCACTGGTAGCAGGTCTTGATCTATTAGTATGGTAGGCCTCTGAGTCCACCAATAAGACAGGGCAGCGTAAGTTGATGAAAGGTGGCTGCTAGAGGTTATATCAAGGACAGCAATAGTTGATTGATTCTCTGTGCAACCTGTTGTAATCATATCGAGCTCGAAACTACAGCTGCTGCATAATGAGTGAATGATGAAAGATAGAGAAGAAGTTAATTCTGTTATAACTGAGTCGTTTTGACTGCAATGTACAGTAGGTAAATGTAATCTTATAATAGCACTGGTGGCTCCTGACGGAGGAGTAGGAGGAAAAGGAATTGGAGGAATAGTTGTACCAACATTTGTTAATGATACAGTAATATTCTTAGACCCATAGGTATTACTAGCTTCACAATGATACTGTCCTGGAGTGTCACTCCAACTAACAACAGCTTTGATGACATCGCTACCTTCACTTGTTATTGTATGAGATTGTAATCTTGTACCATCCCCATCCTTCCATTGAACAGCGGGTCTAGGCCAACCTCTTGCAATGCAGCTGATATTGCAGTTGTTGTTCGTTGGGCAGTTGAACTGTATTGGATTTGTATTGGAGACCAGGTAGCCAGGGTGTGGAGAATATACTGAATATATGTTAGGAGATGCTAAAAAAATAATAAAAAGACACGTTAATTATATAGTATAAATTATAAAATTCTCTCGCAGCCAATTTTGACAATTAAAATACGCTTGGCTTGATTTTGGAGCAGCTTTAAAAATTTGTAAAAAATTCCAACGTGAGCAGAATCAACTCAAACTTTATACACAACATAAATACATGTATGTGTATCAAAAAAATTATAAAAATTAAAAATTCTCTCCTAGTCATTTTTGGCATAATTTGGTCAGCGTCCATGTACTACAGTACAGGGTCTTTTACTCAATTTTGGAGCAAATTAAAAAATTTGTAAAAAATCTAATTTTGATCAAAATCAGTCCAAATTTTCTATGCAACATTAGAACATATATATGTATCAAAAAAAATTATAAAAATGGAGAATTATTTTCAAGCCATTTTTGACAAATTACCCTATTCTATGATATACATGTAGTATTTGGCTAAATTTTAGAGCAGCTTTACATTATACCCTGTAATTACAGTACTTTAATACAAAATATCATAGGGCACTTTTTTTGAAGGCTGTAAATTTCACAAATTGGCCCGGCCTAAAAATCTATTTTGCGGTATAATTTTTGCAAATTTATGCCATCTGCCATCTTTTACTGTAATAATTTTATTTTTACACAAGTAATTTTCGTAAATCTTTAAAAAATTGTGAAATCTGAAAAATTTACAGCCCTCAAAAAAAGGCACCCTTCGGTATTTAGTACATGTACACGTACATACTTACCATAAATGCTAATGTTAATAACAGCAACAGATTGACCCACATCATTAGCAGATACACAAGCATATACTCCTTCATCTGTATACATGGTAGGCCTAGTCCAATTTAGTAATCCTTTATTCTAAAGGGAAACATAAAAAAAACAAACGTATTATCATATTATACCAAATATGGTAACACAAAGTACATGCATAAGTGAGAATTCTAATTTTATTATTGAGTTAGCATAATTCCCAGGTGGTGTCATGAGGGGAATAGCCTTCTCATAATTTAAAGAAATGCTGTAGGATAGATTGATCAATACAAGTTAATACTGGGTCGTATATTTCAATAAATCGTGGTCACGGTTGTAAATATTTTAATGGACGCGTGTGTGTAACATAATACGAATATATTTGCATTCAAAATAAATGAAATAATTGTCTAATGCACACAAAAATGATTTTAAAATTATTCTTTATTACTTATTGTCATAACAATACAGCATGCACGTACATGTACACGTACATGATGTACGTTGATATGGGATCTGTTTAAATTCCATTAAATATCACCACAAACATGAGCACATACAACATACTGCTCCTTGGTGGCTGCATAATCCACTATTGATTACTACACCAAGCTATAGGGCCTAATGGACACTACTGCTTCAAGCTAATAGAGACTGTTTCATAGTAACTGATGACAAGCTAATTAATACTACTATAGGTTACTATGGAATGCTGTAGCTACATGTACCACAGTAGTATTACTATGGCATGAAATCATTACAAATCATCACTTACTTGATGAATCCCATTTGGTAGTGTTGTAGAATTATTATATGTCCAAGTAATGTTAGGAGAAGGAAAACCATCAGATGTGCAGTTGAATAATGTCCCTACTGAGCCATCGGGTAGTGATATATTAGTGCTAGTAATGTTTAGTATATTGGCTGTAGGAGGATCTAGAATATTGTATGTGTGTCAAGAAAGAGTCATAGAAATGTGCGTGTGTGTTTGAAATGAATGAAAGTGAATTGTTTATTGTTTATAAAAGAATAATAAAACAACAGAACTGAGGTTCACTGCACTGCAATGATTTACTAATAATCAACGTAAAGTAAACGTTCAAAGCCCTGTTAGACAAACTTGTTCTTAGCCAAAAATAACTGCAAAACTAAGAATTCCCATTTTAAAGGTAACCCTGTAACCCTACATGCTCTCGTAGAATCAGCATCACTAAAGCTTAGCTAACACTGCACAAGGTGCTTTTAAGTACTTTGTAAACATCACACATGGTCACAAAATAACAATTACCATACTACACCTACATTTTATTTGAAGCTGCATTGACTGATTGGTAGTTCCCACATTATCTGTTACAGAGCAAATATAAAGACCGGAAGAGCCTCGTCTAGCATTATTAATCATTAATAAAGGCTCTTCACTCTCCAGTAGAGTCTCAGTGCCATTACTGGCAATGAAATACCATGACAATGATATAGTGTTCATTGGTAGGAGATCAGTGATATTGCAATAAAGAGAGGCATTAGCACCTTCTCTGATGATGTGAGGACCTTCAATGTTAACAATGAGGGAATCTAGAAAAAATAACAAAATATTATAATCCAATTACAATAATAAAGTAATAGTAATAGGAATAGGAATTAAATGTCAAGTAACAGTACTATAATTTAATATAAATAATAATAAATCAATGAGGTGAGAAAGGAGCAGATATTACATAGGTGGTGGCCTACATGTAGATTTGAGGTCAATCTTTAAAATGAAAGCAGTTTTTAAATGATACTAGTACTATACGACTATGATCCAACTAGCATTAGTAGTTTAGTACTACTACAACAGTTACTGGGCTACACACTAGCTTATGCTGCCAATGATACTTCCCTTAAGGCTATATGCTCAGCTCTCGTTAATTATCAAAATAAGAATAAACAAATGCGCTTTAATAAAAATAATTAGCATTTCCTTAATACCTGGATAAGTGACATTAATAATCACACTGTTATCTCCATTGGTAGTCATAACTCTGGCTGTGTAGCTGCCTATAAGACTGGACCCTTGTCCTGTTATCACTAGAACAGTGTTGTTTAATGCCAATGTATAATAATCTGGTGTACTGTTGGTAGAGATAAGCTGGTCGTTATGGTACCATGTTATATTGTTAGGGCTTGGCAGAGGATCTGAACCATCAACAAAGACTCTAATACTAACAGTGATACTATTAGTAGAACTTGTTATTAGTATAGTAGAACTGGGAGTATATATAGCTGGATTATCTAACAAAAATAATGAGACTAAATACATTGTGTAGACAAATTAATAGATACAGTACTTGCAACAATTGTCATTACGTCAAACGTCACGTACATCTACATGCACAAACAAGTTTGAGTTGGCACAATTATGCATCCATATTAATAATAATAGCTGGGGGATGGACACCAACCAAAAATATTAAGGCTTGGGTTTGTTAATGCAAGCAGGTTGATTAACAGCCAGTATAATGTTTACAAAAACAGTTCAATGATTCAGAGGCATTAACATAGATACATGTAAGGATTCAACAATTTACTGTAGTTATTAGCACAACATACATAAGGCTGCATACACTTACCACTGGTCACAAACACACTTCCATTAGCACCAGAGTCTGAAACACAGGTATACAACTCTCCACTCATCGGGCTGTGAGTGAAATTTAAAATACCCGTCGACGACTGGTAAGGGACGCTGGTATAAACAGAGGGCACTGGTTCGTCGTTTGAAGTGATCCATGTTAGATTACCTGTACCTTGACACTGTATGTAAAATGAAGGAGATGGAGTGTAGAGTAGGAGCGATGATATAATGTTAGAGATGTTATTATCCCCTTGTGGGAAATAGAGATTACGTATGCCACCTGAGAGGGATAATCATGAGATAATGACATATATAAATTATACACAGACCCAGTAGTGACAGTATACATTAAATATGTGATATTTATGTACACAGAAATACAATATAGATATTAATGCATACTAAAGTAACATAGTGAAAGTACATGTACATAAAAGGTACAATAATATCCATGTATGAAATAACAGAAAAAAGGAAAATGTATAGACATATATACACACTATATACTCATAACAAATGAAATCAGAGGAAAAGGGACTCAGACGTATCACATCTAGTGTGAACACATACCAGTAATATTTACAACAGATTCATTTGATGATGTAGAATTTGTTCCATCAGTAAACGAAGCATTACAATAATACACTCCACTGTCAGCCACACGAGCATCAGGGACCGTTAATCTTGATGACTACATAATGATAATAACAACATGATATGTGTTCAATTAACATGATATTGATACCATTAACATGATATATATTTCAATAACACAATATGTGTTCCATTAACATGATATCGATACCATTGATGAATTATATCACTACACTGTTCATGTGTGTCTGGTTGCATGCGTGTGTGTGTGCTAGATGCTAATAAGGGATAATGTACAAATCCTGTTTGCCCTGCCTTAATAATAGCAATTGACATGTGTTTTAATGATCACATATGGGATTTGTTATCATTAATACATGTCAAGGTGGTGTTTCCCTTAAAGGGCGAAGTACACAACATTACACTTGAATAGTGACAGGATTATAATACATGCATAACAACACAGCATCAAAATTTGAAATATGTCTCAAAAGGTCATACATTTACACAGTACACAATAGCCTAAACTAACCTTTGCAAGATCAGTTGTCATTGTATAAATGATGCTTCCTTCAGGCAGTTCTGATCCATCGGATCTAAGCCAAGTGATGTTAATTATATCCACTGATCCAGTTACTGTACAGTTCAAAGTAAACATAGTCCATTCAGTTAGACTGAGTGTAGTCAATGGATGAGCAGTGAAGCTAGGAGGGGCTACAAAAATATTTAAATATTTATGTAAAGCTAATAGCAACAAAATCAAAAGCCACAACTATCATTATTATTATTATTATTATAACTTTTGCTAATAATTATAGGATGGCAAGTGGACTCTTTTATATGTACATGTACATGTACAATAAAAATTAGAAAATTGTATATTTGTGTTCATGTAGTTAGACTCTCAGATCATCAATAATAATCAATAAATGAACACTATAAACAGAATCACTGCAGGCACAAAATAGAGGGCAGTCTGACGCTACTAATCGGCAGCATTTCTTTGTGCCTGATCCCCTTACAAAACATTATATCATTACTGTGTGTACTAATATGACAGTCATCAATATCAAAGAGTGAATAGGATTAGAGTCTACCTGATAAACAAATGAATGCTCTCATTCATGCACAATGAATGATTTTCAAAGGCTTAAGGTCAGTTCAAATTGCTTTATGTTACAACTAAAAATATCTGCAAATGTTCAGCAAAAAGTAGTACAAACAAGAATTGGGAATCTTTAAATCTAGCATTTGCGTATACTCCTGGTTCTAAAAGCAACCTTAGCATTCATTCATTTGTATGTGTACCAAAATAATTTTGAATTCTTTTATATATTTTGAAGCATAAAATTTTTGGTAAATTATAGGTGAAAGTGAAAGAGGGACACACTCCATTAATAAACTGTACATAAAGTGAGAATTAATACACGTGTACATAAGTGCAGACTTACAGAGTCTCTCTACATACATATTAGCAACGTGTCCAAAAACAATACAAAAACAATAACTAAGCCTCAATATACATGTATAATATGTCACATAGCATGTAAATATATGCACACTTACTGAGTACTATTAGTCTCGTTGTAGCTGATACACTATCCTTCACTGTTATATTATAGTCTCCATCATCAGATGCATCCACTGACTGTATGTTTAATATTCGATTATCGAAAGTCAAATTATATTTAGCTGATGAGCTGGTAGTAATTAGAGTGTTATTAAAGGACCATGTTATGTCAGTAGATGTGATGAATGGTTCTGATGAGGCATAGAACTCAATGGAAGCATTGTTACCAGCTAACACAGTGATGTTTTTATGTATGGACTGTACTGCTGGATTAGCTAGAAAAAGAAGAGAGATTCTATTAAATAAAAAGATTCGCTTCTTAAATGTTTATCATAAAGGGGGTAAACATATCTAGAAAGCTATTGTCTTCATTTATACAGATAATTGTATTTTCAAAACAATTTCCGAGTTCATATGGCAAGATTATGGTAAACACTGATATCTGTCATTTCACTTTAAATAATGAAATCCATCTCTCTCTCTCTTCTCTCTCTCATTCACTTACTAGTAGTTATCATTAGAGAAACTGAGACACTATCATTGTGCCTACAAATGTATATTCCTTCTCTATCCATTGCTGGAGTAAAGAAAGAGAATCTAAGGCCTGGAACCATACCAGAAAGTGTACTTTGTGATCCTCCTAAGCTAGCCCCATCTCTCTGCCATACAAGAGAGCTACCGTAAGTTACTGAAGTGCAGTCAAAGTAATAGTCTGTATTGACTATGTAAGTCGCTAGACCTTTCACAATTTGACTGACGGTTTCATTACTCCTTAATCTTTGCCTGATGATCAGATCATTACCTGGATTATGAAGAGAGAACAAAAATCATTATAATAAATACACTAAATTTATTGCTTTTAAGTCTAAATCATGTAATTGAAGACGATTGAAGTTTAGTCATCTTTCCAACCTGTGCCAGGTATAATTCCATACAAAACCACCAGAACAAACATATTGCTCAAGTCAAAATATGGAAGCCAAAGAAGGACATCTTGTTGCAAAGAGTAACAAGTGAACAATAGAATCAATGCAAACTAGGCTCACTACACACACAGAGCATGCATGAAGAATGTACCATGTACTTGCATGTGCACTTTGTGTGGGCTTCAGTGATAGCTATCGTACTCAAAAAATAACAATTACTGAAAATTAGAGCGAGACTAATTAAAATGTGAGAATAAACTAAAAGTTGCCGTGAGAAGCAATAAGACTTGCTGTGAATATAATTATTAGTGTATGGAAGGAAATAAGACTCTAATGTATTGTGGTTAAAGAGATGAAATTACATACAGGACTGACAAACACACTCACACACTTAATGACCATGAATAATGAGATTGATTAGCTTTTTAACACATTATGGAGTATAACAAGAAATTCTGCACTCTCTTTCAAGCGCTAGTGATGCAGATGTGTGAACTACTAGTATGTACACCAAATTTAATAACAAGAAGTGGCTATGTATTGGGTCTGTATAATGTGGTAGAGAGAGGCTGGGCTATTAATAGGCTTTGGAAAGTACAGACCACAAGTTAAATGTAATTTTGTTGCACTGTATGTTATCATATCACTCAAGCCTTAATGCTACTACACTATTGCTGAGTGAGAAAGCAGCCACAAAATAAATCCACAAGTATTTTAGATCTAGTAACTATTTTGCAGTCATGATGGACTTGCACCATCGCAGCAATTTCTAGGATTAGAGAGACACACATGGACGCTCTTGCTACAGAAAGTGTAGCTCGCACGCATCATTACCTCTCAGTGCACTCACCTGTAACTGATGGATACTGGTTTGATAAGATGGAGAACAGCAGCAGCAATAACACGGTCCATTGGTGAGAAGTAGTAGACAGCCTCCACATTTCAAGAGTAGCAGGGAATTAGAGAAACAGCGATGACAGCAGATTAAAATTATGAGAATATTTTGTTATGTGGGAGTCTGGGAGACTGGGACTGGGAGAGCTGACACTACAGTAGTCAAGTTGTACTACTGTCAAAAATAAGTGATTTGTCAGGATGCCACGCCTCCTTCATTATAGATTTACTAGCCCCGCCCAACTGTCCTGCTAGGCGGCTGCTACAGCTACAGTGCGAGACTGCGAGCCGTCCCAGTGCTTCTTTTTAAAGATAATAGTGCAAACCATACAAAGACAAAGGGAGGTTTTCTCAGTTTTTGGCCTGAGGGCCGGTGGCCCTGCTTATTTATTTGAGCTATGGCCACTTCTGTGGTCTCCAACTTAGGTATCTGAGTGATAGTTTCTATTTCGGACACACCCCTCATTGTGTTTTTGCATATTAGGTGTAAATGATGTTTGGTGTGTGGAGAAATTATTGAGTAATACCAGTCACTTTCCAGTGATAAGATGGTATGAACTGGGAAAAGAATTAGGACTGAGCAAGAATATGCTGGATGTCATTAAAAATAATTTTCGTTATGATGCATCTTGCTGTTTGACCGAATGTCTCGACAAGTGGTTACGTAGAGCTGATGATGTAGACAGTAAACGAGGGGCCACCATTGATTCATTAATAAATGCACTCGTGTCTATGGGAGAGAATGCTGTAGCTGATACACTGAGTCAGTTATGTCACGTACCATATATATATATATATATATATATATATACATGTACTTTGTTATTATTCTTACTGTAGAAATTCACACTATTATAGAAAATCATTTGCCTTCCCTCTCACAATCTCTCTGTGACCCTTTAACTATTGTGTATCGATTGCATTATGAGGAGCGTATCCTAACAAGAGAAGTGGTCACTATGGTAGAGTCTGCTAGTCCCTCTATTCCTAATCAACGTGAGGCTCTATTAACTGCTGTCAAAGAAGCTGTGCAAAATTCCAAAAGTTTACAGACATTTGCTAGAGCGTTATCAGTGCTACCCAATTCTACTAATGTGCAACTAGGATTAGCTATACAAAAAGATATTAGTGAGTTTACCATATCGTAGAAAATTTTAGTGGCCCAAAAATTTTGTGGATCTGTTCAAAAATCAATTTTGTGGCTTTAATTTTTGTGGTTTTCTACTTTTCGCCATCTTGAACCGTATTGAATCAATTTTACAGATTTTATTTTCATGAATTTTGAAAAATGCGAAATCCACGAAAATTTTGGGCCACAAAAATTTCCCACTATACGGTATATTATTTTGCCAATTTTATTTTAATGCTTTTACTTTTTAGATAAATATTTTCCTTCTCCTAAAGTGGGTATTGAGCCACAAGGTAAGTAATAGTATTATAGTAAATATATTTAATTAAATATTAGATGGTGAAAACATGGATGAAACAAAGTCACCATTACCCATTCAAGCACTGCCTACACCATCACCATCTGGTATGTACATGTACATGCACATATGATTTTATTTGCACTTGCAGTAACTGTATGAGTAAGTAAGCATTGTTTTGTAACAGTATAAGTGGCTTTTTCTTTAGATTCTACTGAAAATACAAAAAGTGGTAATAATTCCTCCACTTCCCAATCTTTATCACATAGTAATTATAACATCAATATTAATTATATTCATGATTATTATATAGAAGTACGTGTGCCTTTTTGGAAAGTAGAGTTTGAATCAATAAGAATATCTTACGGAAGGATGTTTTACAATGTTAGTAAAGTTGTTCAGAGGAAATCTCCTTTGCTAGAAGATATGCATGAAATATTGAATTATTGTACTAGCAACACTCTTCTTAGACAAAAGATAGCTGGTTGCTCAACTGTTTCTAGCATCATACGTCTTCTTCGAGATGAGTGTTCACTGACCAAAATTTTTCTTCTGGAGTGTGTAGTTGAAGAGTTGGATATTACTGAAGCTAGTGAACATATTGTGAAGTACAAAACTGAGTTGAAGGAATTTTGCAAGTTCATCAAAATGGAACTCCATGTAAAAGAAAGATTTGATTCAGTTCCTCATCTTCAATGTGAAACACTTACTTTTACCTTTGACTGGAAACCTGAAGATCACATGTTGCAAGATATTGACGATATTCTTACAAAAGTTTCTGGTGGTAGACTGAATATCAAGTACTTGGAGCCTGGCAAATCAATATCAGTCACTTGCTCCTTTCCTTTCTCTGATGTTGCGTTTACTGTATTGAGGATAATACAAAATTTTTATATACTAATGGGACAAGAATTAAAGAAACTGACTATTGGTAACTTAACATTATGGAGGAGACAAGATGTTAGACAAAAGGTACATCATGAAATTTTGATGAATAGTTAATCATGTAATTATGATAATGTTTTTTAATCAGGAACTGCACGAAAAGAAGCATGACGATCTTCAAGATACCGAGGTCAGTTATTTTATTTATAGTTTGTTAGTTTGTTTATAGTTAATACAGTTTGTTTTTTTTAGTTTGTTAAGTATATACTGTTAACACATGATTATTTTTCTGTTATATTTTATAGCTTATATCTTTATTTATACTTGAAGAGAATCATTGTTGGCTAAGACATGCTATCAGTTGCAAAGAGAAGGTACATGTATACAAATACACAGTGCATATCCAATATGCAAAAATGAATGTTATGTTTTATGTGCTTTTTTGTCATCTCATCATAGGAAACAGTTGAGCTAAAGCAAGAGCTATCTGGCATTTTGAGACATTTAGATAAGGTTATTTTATAACTTTATGTATGCATCTTCAGCTATTTATGCTTATTAGTCCGCATAGGCTTTAAGATTGAAACTAAGTATTGTGTATACAGTGGCATAGTTAAGAACCAACTAAGATTTTGGACTTTCCTAAAATTACACAATTAAATATGAGGGTTGGAAGTATTATGCTCCATCTCTTTGCCGAGCAACCAAGGCATAACAATGCCTGTTTTAATCTTACAGAAGTTATCTTAACTTAAGAGTGTTGTTTGAAAATTTAAGCATTCACTTAGACCATATAGTTTTCCAAAAATTTGGCCCGAACAATTTTTATTACATTGATTTGATACATATTGATAGTTTTACACTATAAAGCAAGTGTGAGCTCACTGAGCTATAATTCTGGAGCTATAAACATCTTTTATAAAACTAGCATAGCCCATTTTTTTCATTTCCAAAAATTGGCTTTAAAGTATCTCTCAATTTTTTACATGGATACACGTATATTGATGTCTTAGAAAGTTTCACAAAAAGCACTAAATGTATAATATGAAATTATTATTATTATTGTGCCTTGTTATTATTATTTAGGAAGAATTGGTGTCATTTCAAAGTGATTCTGAATCAATTGAAGAAATTAATGTACAGTCACACCTCCCTCTCTTTCTCTATTTTGTGTTAATTATAATTATCATTAATAGGAAAAGGATATAGAGTTAGTTGATGAATTGACTATACTGAGGTCTAAATTTAATGAAGTGGAAAAGAAGAACAAAGAGCTATGTCATACATTAGAAGGAACAAAGATCAAGCACTGTGCATCACTGTCTACTTCTAGTTTTAATAATTCAGGTTAGAATAGCTTTTATCACCATAATTACACATGATTATGATACATGTATAAAATTAAAGCTGCTAGCAAAGTGAGAAGAGGAATGAATTTTGAAATTGATGACTTGAAGTTTCATCTTAAAGCAATGAATAGTCCAGACTATCAACCATTAGTAAAGAGTAAAAAGATGATACAGGAATTACAAGAGAAAATAACATTATTGAATATGGAATTAATTGTGAAGAGAGAACACAAAGAGCAGATGCTGAAAGAGATATATGGTAATATTTTATTTATTATTTTGTATTTGATACAATCACTGTTGTTGTTGTGCATACAGAGACAAGTAAGGAAATTGAAGATAAGGTACAGCCCTCTCAGGAAGTGACACCGAAATCAAAAGGTGATGATCTGCAGCATGAAGCGCAATTAGCTAGTAATTGATAATGGTGAATGTACATATATTACTGTTACATTTTATGAATAGGTAAAACCAATGAGAAGTTGCTATTAGAAGAAGAAATGGGAAAAAATTATGGTAAGGACTAATGTTAATTAAATTGTGTCGTAATAATAATAATAAAATATAATAATAATAAAAAAATAATAATAATAATAATAACAATTTATAAAGAACAAGTTGATATGTTAGTTAGGAACAATTTAATACGTTAAGTTAGTAAAATATAAAATTGTCGTTGATGCTGAGCCCATCCTCAAAGCTCATGCCTCTCCACTTGGTACGGGAGCCTCGAATACAGAGATGGGTTGCACCAATTAGACATACAATAACTGAATAATAATTGACATTCAATTTATTAGAAGAAGGCCTATTGGTGAAGTAGTTTATATGTACATGTATGTCTGTATGTATGCATATCTGGTGAGGGTGGAGCCCCTTCATGTTTTATATTCTAGTATATAGTAATTGGGGAAAGCCCTTTCTTATGAGAATTTCTGTATGTATGTATACATGCATACATTTGGGGGTGTGATTAGTAGTGTGGTCAGAAGGCAGAACCCCCTCAATGTTTTACATTCTTTCTAGTATCATCATTGTTATGGTAAACCCATTTTATTATTTTTAGAAACACAGCTATTAAATTCATTTAAGGATGGCTATTATGATGATGCCATACATTTATTACCATACATCAAAAACCACAAACAGTTACGACTTCAATTTACTATTAGAGCTGGTTCATATCAAGTGGAGGCAAATTTGCTTCATATGGCTTCATGGAACGGCTGGTTAGGTATCATAAAAGATCTCATTCTTAAATATGACTATGATCTACAAGAAGGAGATAGTAATGGGAATACCTGTCTTCATTATGCTGCAATGGGTAATCGTGTTGATGTGATGAAGTATCTTATTAATGAACATTTCCAGTTTGTGGCCATCAATAAGGATGGGTGGACACCTCTTCACACTGCTGCTTTTTATGGTCATTCTGAAGCTGTTGAATATTTATTATCAACTGGTAATTTTGATCCTTTGCATAAAAACAATGAGGGGAAAGCACCACTACAACTAGCTTATAAGACCGGAACTAATACTCTTCCTATCTTTAAAAGTTTTGGTAACATTAAAACATCACATCCAGTTGATTCTTATGTTAACGTTCTTCTTGTGGGTAATCCTGGAGCTGGTAAAAGTACTCTTAGTCATGTCATCAATTACACAGCTACTGGTTCTTTTGTTCTTGGTTCCTTTAGAAATGTTGGAGGGGTAGTGGCCTGTACTGCTGGTATCATTCCTTATAAACTACAACACAGGACACTGGGTAACATCATTCTTCATGATTTTGCTGGCCATTCAGATTACTACTCCAGTCTGTGTGCTGTCATTGAAAATCTGTTACAAGGTTCTGGTGCTGTGTTTTTGATAGTAGTCAATATATTAGAGAAGGAAGCAGTCAAACAGCTTCATCAGTGGCTAACTGTTGTGAGAAAGAAAGCTCTTATACAAGGCTGCCATGTTATTGTAGTAGTCAGTCATGTGGATGTGATAAGTAATACAAGAAGGAGAAAGGAAGAAATACAAGAGATAATTGTTAGGGAAAGGTGTGATAGTGTCTTCTTAGATTGTCGTAAGCTTGGTGGGAGTGGTTTGGATTCCTTCTTCAATAAGTTGTCTAGTGCCTGTGAGTCCATTCGTAGTACAAGTGGAAGGAATTTAAGTCTTTATTGTCACATGATGTATGGTCTACTGGAGGAAGGGAAAGAGGATATACTGACCCTCTCTGATATAATGTCTGCTGGTAAGAACAATGATGATTACTTTATACCAGATAAGAGAGAAGATGTCTTGGATGTTCTTCATTCGTTGCACTCAACTGGTTTGATCAGTGTTCTTAAAAGTGAAGACAAGGTATGGGTTGTTGTGAATAAGGATATATTACTAACTGAGGTGGATGGGATTCTCTTTGCTCCAAAGACATTCAAAGAACACGTTGACATTGCTAGCAATACTGGTATTGTTAGTGTGTCTGGTCTGACCAGACTCTTCCCTAAATATGATCCTGACATGTTGATCTGTTTCCTGAAGAGCATGGAACTCTGTCAAGAATTGAATCCATCATTCCTAAGAATGACAAACTTGATAGCAGGAGATAGAGAGGAGACAGGAGACAGTGCCTCAGAGACTCAAAGAAGAGGAGAAAGGTTGTTGCACTTTCCATGTCTTTTGTCTACTGATAGACCTGATGAGATGACTAGTCAAGTGTACCAGTTTGGTTGGTGTCTACAGTGTACTAGTAAGCATCATTTCTTTCCTCCTCGATACTTCCACATCCTCTCATTACATCTTGCTTTCAAGTTTTGCTTATCAAAAGGAAACAAGGAATTAGCTGAAAAATTGAGTCGTAAATGCAAACTTTGGAGTAATGGTCTTCACTGGTTTGATGGTTATGGTGTAGGATCACTAGTAGAGATTGTGGATGAGAGCCAGTGTGTAATAGTAATGATGTCCTGTGAGAAAGGTTACAGTGACAATATGGTGTCTCTAAGAAGAGATGTGATAGGAGAGGTAATGAGTGTTTATAAAGAATCCTGTTCTAGTCTAGAGGTAAAAGAGTTTGTTATTGATCCTAAAGAACTAGCCTATCCTGTGAATACACCAAGAGAAAGGACAGTGTATGATGTGAAAGATATACTGTCTGCTATTGAAAAGAGAGAGGAGTTTTTAGTAAAGTTTGATGGTACTAAAGGTGAAAAGGTGAAAAAGATCCTACCTGATGAATCATTATCAGATATTTGTAACCTGTCACTATTAGGAGGACGTGATATTAAGGTAACAATTACTGTGCACAAACTTAAATACAAACGCCAAATGTAATAAGATGTAAAATTTATTGTATTATTATTATTATTGTATAGGAATTGACTCCAATGAATGAATTCAAAACACCATTGACTCCAATAAAGCTAGGTATGTTTGTCAAGTATGTAGTAGAGACTATGTGTATGTATGCACATTATTAATTATTTTGTTTATAGATATTAAAGATCTTGATATTGCCATTGAAGAGCTAACAATACTCGATCATTTACCTTACCATATGTGGTATGAGCTCGGTCTTCAGCTAGGACTCTATCAGCCTAGACTAGAAGACATCAATGAAGATAATAATGGAAACTCTAAGGAGTGCTTCATACAGTGTATGTCTGCCTGGTTAAGAGGAGAAGATAAAGTGAGAAAGAAAGGAGGTCCCAGTTGGTTATCATTAGCTACAGCACTGGATATGATCGAAGAAAATTCTATTGCTGCTTACATTAGAGATAAATATTGTAGTTCTGTTTATTAGAATTTTTGTTTGTTGCTAATAGTATGAACTAGTGCTTGCTATAGTGTTAGTGTTGTTTGTTGTTGCTACTTATATATTAAACTATTAGGATTTTCAGCTATAATAATAATATTAGGTTTTTATTGCTGCAGTTTGGGCGTGGCTGCTCTAAATTAATTGATTAGTACACTAGCGAGGCTCTTCTACAATGCCGTACTGGGTTAAGCACTACAAGAGGAGAGATGAACCAAGAGACTCTGTCCTTATTCAAACCATCCCTATAAACTCTACAGCTTGCTCCCTCGAGCTTTTGTGTACGAAACAAGAAAGCACTTTCCCACCTTCTCTAAGCAATCTCCTGCCCTCTCCCCGGCCCTCCCTTCAACAACCAGCAGCAGCAACAGCCTCACCTCCTAATCAAGCAATAGATGAACGAACCCATGTATTGCTACTGTCCCGTAGGGAACAAACGACTCTTGATGGAGGCAGAACACTCAAGCTATATTCTTCTAAGACTAGGAGCAAAGCAGAGACGGCCCTTCACACCATTACGTGTATACTCGAGTCATTAGCACCAGCTCTTGATCTCTGTCTCTCCACTGACCTCCTCTCATTATTATTATTACCATCTCCAAGAAGAATCGAGGAATTACCATCTCTAGTAGCTCAATATGCTGTGAGTGCTAAACAAAACCAGCAAGAGCTCTTCTCACTAGCCAGACTACACATTAACAATCAGTCCATTCTTTACTTGATGTGTGAGCTGACCTCAATGAAGATACTCAACGACTTGCAAACTAACGAAATCGAATTCGATGTGTGTCATCCTGTTACCGGGGCAACGCTCGTTCACATGGCAACGCTACTAGGCGACGAAAAATTAAGCGACACATTGAGATACCTCAAGTCATCAATGAGCTCTGAGGATTATTACAAATATATTAACAGAACTTGTAAATATGAATATATCACGACAGGAGGAGGAGGAGGAGGTAATGGAGGAGGAACTAATGTCACTAATGGAACTGATGGTTTGCTATCAGTTGATAAGGTAAGAGATTTATAATACATGCAAAGGATCTGCTCTCAAGGTGAGCATCCACTATGCAGCATTGTTGCTTCCAACTTGTGGTCAAATCTTTGATGTGGTTGGGCAACATGCTGCATGAAGTAGAGTATAGAGAGAGTCTCAACTTGATGCACAACCACATCAAAGGTACTGGCACTAGTGGATGCCCACCTTTAATCAGTCCTTATTTTTATCTTATTGATGTTGTCTTATTAATTTTGCCTATTTAAGTGTATGTGTAAGTGTGTGTGCATTTAGTGTGATTAGTTTATGTTGTATTTACTATCAACAGCCCTGAGAGAGATCACAGGAAATTTGATATTTTTATAATTGCTGACACTAGCTGCCAAGTGGTGATAAGGAAATATGATCACCTTAGACAGTTTATTTATGAATATTATTACAATACTACTATTATTAGTGTTATTATTATGTCTTCTTTATAGTTGCTAAGAAGGAGTAGCTCACCATCAAACGATTCCCTAAAGCTAGGAGACATCACTCCATTAATGACAGCAGTGAAGAGGAACAATGTTAGGACAGCACACTATCTACTAGTATCTGGAGCTGATCCAAACTACCAAGAACCACTCAATGGCATGACTCCATTACACATTGCTGCACACATACCTAATGTAGCAATACTGAAGCTATTACTGTCATTTGAAGCAGATATTTTTGCTACTAACAAAGCAGGCAAGACACCATTAGACATTGCAAAGGACAGTAATAGTGAAGACTGTATTGCTGTCATGGAAAAGGTAGCAGCCTTGAGAGATAAAAGGAAAGAGATTCGTAGCTCAAAGATGACAGTAGTAGAAGGACCTGGCAATGACTCTGTGGCATTATTATCAATGGATGGTGGGGGAACAAGAGGATCTACTTGCTGTTACACACTTTATTATATTGAGCAAAGAATGAGAGAGATAGCAAGAAGTAGAGGAGAAGAGGGAACAGAGACGACCATTAGTCCTGAGGATATTCACATTAGACGTTATTTCGACTGGTATGCTGGTACTAGCATAGGATCGTTATTTACTAATATGATGGCTTATAAGGATGGAGATTCCAACTATGTGATGTCTTCGCTGGTCAATAGCAGAATAGAAGCTTTCTCTAGCAGTAGGATATATGATGGGCCCACACAAGAGAGGATTAGTAGAAGGTTAGTTGGAGACAGAGATATGAGGAGTATATCGAATCCAAAAGTTTTAATAACGACCACACAAGCAGATCTGCATCCACCACAGCTAATATGCATCACTAATTACAGGGAGGATCCTGGGAATGGAAGGAATTGGAAAGCATGGGAAGCAACCAGAGCCTCCAGTTCAGCTCCTTTATTCTTCCCCTCGTTTGAAGGACGCTACGTCGATGGCGGGATCTTAGCTGTAAACCCAACCCAACATGCTCTTCATGATATACATGTTTACGATAATCGTAAGATTGGGCTAGTACTCTCGCTGGGTACTGGAGTATTTAAACCAGCTCTCAGTGATACAGGCCTTGATGTTATGAAGCCACGCCTCTCTCACTTTATTTCCGATATACACAGCGACATAAAGTTTGTAAAGAGCCTGTTAAGAATGCTAACGGCTAACATAGTGAATCCCACTGACAGTGTGTTACATTCTAAGGCATGGTGTGAATCCACAGGTGCTATTTTCCATCGTCTCTCTCCTCCTTTATCTGTTAGACATGAGCTGGATGAGAAGAGTGATGAGGCTTTTGTCCTCTTCTTTTATGAGACCTATCTTTATCTACTGGAGTCTGAAGATGCCATTAGTAAAATATCGTACCAGTTATTGGACCATGGGCCAAGATGGAGGAGAGAGGAGGAGGATGAAACAGATGGAGAAACGAAAAACAAAATGGCTCATGGAAAGAAGTTTAAATCAACTTGGGTGTAATGATTTATATAATAATAGTAACTTGTTTATTAAATTTTTTTAGTTACAGGTATTTATATATATTTATTTGTTGATTATATTTATTCATTGATAATTTTATTTATTTATTAAAATTTTGTTGGGCTAAAAACCATGCTTAACACAATTACAGTGAATAATAATTATATAAATAAATCTAATAATAGCTATAGTGTTATAACTATGTAACAATAATAATTATTACATATAATAGTTATTTTAGTCATAATAATTGGTTAAAATTTTGGAGGCTCTTAAGATAAAATGCTGCTAATAAATAAAACAAACTAAAAAAATAATTAAATACAGATTTCTCAATCGAAAATGTCATCATCATCATCGTCATCGTCGTCATCATCATCATAATAATAATCAGAATAGTCTGAATCAATTTCCCCTCCAGACACCATACTGTTGTTTCTCCTCAGCATGTAGTTGTCCATATCAATGGAGCGACAGTGTCTAATGGCATAAAGTAATCTCTCAGCTAACACAGCCTGGGAGGAGTAGGGAGGTAATCTTAACTGGAAGAAACAAGTCTGGGCTGTTGGGAGACCGTCTAAAGTCTGTAATAATAAAGAATAATAATAACAATAACAGGGATATTAAATAATAATGATAACAATAATCTCTCTCCTCACCTCCTCAAGGTCTTGTATGGTAAGGTTCATTCCAGCTACCAGTTTCCACATTGGAGGAGCCAAGTGAAGATTAAGAGGTTCTGATGCCAACTCCACACAAAATTGGTGCTTTCAGGATCAAAACAAACCTAACAAACTTAAAAATAAATAAATAAGTACCATATCACACTACTGAGTCAGAAAGCAGCCACAAAATAGATTGGGTAGATCCACTGGTTAGATTATTATTATTATTATTATTTTATTATTATTATTATTTTATTATTATTATTATTTTATTATTATTATTATTGAAACTTCACAGCACTAGTATATACAGAATTACAATTTGCAATAGTTAAAAGAAAGTTAGAAGTGCTGAAGGATTGCAACAACTAGTGTTACAGCCTTAGAAATAGGATTTAAAATAGAATTAGACTAGATCTATTGCTTCTGTATAACGGCAGCAGCTACCCTCCACCATAATTATAATTTAAAAGTAGCAGAGAATCAGCGATGACAGCAGTCTAGTATCTATTGTTATGTGGGACCATCTATGGTGGGAGCTGCACTGCTCAATGTTTTTGATCTCGGATGTCATGCTCATACGCCGGCTGATCTAAAGTCCATTTCCGGTTCGTTGCTCACCAGCTCCACCTTCTTGTACGTCTACTTCGCTGTAAAAGCTGTGCAGTCCTTTTTGCAGAATACAGAACATAGAATAAGGGAAGAGGTTTTTGATACAAGGAAAATAGTTTTTGGCCCGAGGGCCAGTACAGTGGCCCTGCTTGTTTACTGGAGCTATGGCCAATTTAGTCTTAGGTAAAATGCTCTTTAATTTCTATTTCAGACCCGCCCTATAAGCTTGCTTGTGTATTTTATAGGTGTGAAAGACTTAAGTGATGTACATGACTTATTAAAGAAATGTAACTTTCCAGAAACGAAGTGGTATGTGTTTGGACTGAAACTAGGACTGCAAAAAAATACACTGGAAATCATTGAAAAGAATCACCCCCATGATGTATCCCGCTGTTTGATAGAGTGTCTCTCTGAATGGTTGCATAGAGCTGATGATGTTGACAGTAAAGGAGGAGTCACCATCGATTCGTTAATAAATGCACTCAAGTCTATGGAAGCTAATGCTGTTGCTTCAGCTGTTAGACTGAGTGAGTAATAATTATTACTGACTTTTATTCTATAATTGCATGGAATTGTAAACTAAGCATTCTATACATTAAATTATGATTAATTTTGTATGCTTTCTTTGATGTGTACTTTTTTCTACTGAGGATAACAAAATTGCCTCTACTTCCTGTTCTAAGAAAATTTTAAAATTTTGTTTGCAGTACTATTCTTTAAATGTAATCAGTATCATAACAGCTCAATTGAATTATAAATTAATTAAACAAAAAATTATTGCACTGTTAACTCGATATACCGTAAATCTTCTAAATATTCAACACTCTAACTCCGTCAAATTAAATATTTTTTTCCAAATTTTCACACAATTACCTCTAATTATTTTATTATGCAAATTACTGGCTGAGTATTTTAATTTCGACATAATCCTCTTATTTCGGCACATGATTGACCATGTGCTTCAGTCTACCTTACCAAGCAGTTGAGACTTTGGAATGACCCTCCCTCCAATTTAGTCAATAAAAATTATTTAAAAGTAAAAAAAACATTTTTAACCTCTAATTTTTCAATATTACTGATTTTAAGGTGAATTTAATTTGCCGAATTTTTAGAAGATTTACGGTAGTTTGCTCTTGAGATAATTCTAGCTATTAGACGTTGTTATTCAAGGTCTCACTTGCCATGCTTTAGAAGGCTCTAAAGTTTTACTATTAGCCATGAATATAGATTTATTAGTATACTTTGAATGTTAATTGACAAATCTACATTGAATTAAGGCATTGAAGCACTTCAAGAAGTGTCAGAAATTCGGCATGAAAAGACCCAATTGATAAGTCAAAGGCATGATAAAATCATTATGATAACAATTATTATGAACTACTGTACTGCTACTATAATTCACAATGAGGGGAATGTAATGTTTATTTTAATTCAATGAATACTATACAGCTATCGTAAGAATCTTTTATTTTGTAGTAACACCATCTGCTCCAACTGCTGCTACTAACAAGCAAGGCTATCCTCCACTCTCTCCTATTGCACTAAAGGATATACCAGATGATAGACCAAAAGTATCTGAATTGATAAAGTTTTATGAGTTGTTAAAGAAAAAGGAACTGGAGTTTCTACCACTGCTTGATGCTGATACTATAGAAAAGATTAGAAATGCTGTTAATGATTATGAAGGGATGTCTCTTCTTATAAGAGCAATCGATGAACTACTAAATGAAATGAGAGCTACCAGGATAATAAAAAGTAAAACTAAAATAATGCAATTATTGATATTATAGTAATCATATTACACTTTGAAATAGGCCCATCACAAAAGAGAGTTGAGACTCTTTCATCCCCAGAACTTGAACCACAACAACCATCACTAACTACACAACCTCCAGTGACAACACCTATATGTAAACTAAATCATTCACCACAAATTCAGCCATGCCAATCACAGCTAATGCATGTTGACCCTCATTCTTTTTCCACTACAATACAACTCAGTTCAAAGGAAGAAGTTGCTGAAACGATTGAATCACTGGATTGTCAGTTTGCTGGTCTTGTATTGGAAATAAGGAAACGTTTTGATGAACTTGTTTTAAATAAGAAATTGAAGCCAGGTGATGTAGCAATGTATATAGAAGAATGTTCAAACTTAAAGTTATCAGAAAACAACATGCATGCTATATTTAATGCCATCAAACCTCGTTATTACTTCTTTGATTTTTGGTTAATCAAGAGATTAGTACACCAGTTCATCCCCTCATCAGATCTTCATACAAAGCTCAATCAGTATAGTGTTAGTGTTGACAAATTTTCAGAATCATCAAAATTGAAAGACATACGATCAGCAATCAAAGAAAAATTATCAACAGCCTCACTAACAACTAGCTATCACACAAAACCAGTCATCATTAAGCTGACAGACAAATGGGAAGAAATGGTACTACAAAATTTGAAAAGAGTTCTTCAGTATTACTTTAGTGAAAAAATAGCAGATATTTTCACTCTAGTAGATATTG